AACCGCTTCTTTATCCATTTAGGTCCAAATTTATTCAATGATATTCAAACCCTGAACTCTGGATAGGCCAAGTTTTAGTGTTCCAGCTACCTTTTTCCTCTTCTGATAGGTTGTTACACTATTTGTAAAATACATAGGATCACTATCCTGCTAAATTTCTGGCCAATTAGATACTTTTGTAACATAATACTGTATGTATTAAGATCTGTTTGTACGCATCTAACACCATTGGAGGAGATAGATTTATTCTCGTATTTATTTAAAGCTGTTGTACTTTGGTAGTGGTCCTGTCCCCTTTTTTGTTTAATATGCTGACGTTGATTTATTGCTAAATAGATAACACTTGACAATCACTCGCATTCAATACACTCTGTAAGGTCTGTTCATCCGACTATTTTATTTTTACTACCCGTTTAAGCCTTTTTTGGTTGCTTCTTCGGATCAAACGTTTCTATGTACATGTTCGCTGAGGCAAAACTGTGCCAAATTGTTTCTTATTGTCCTCAAGATGGCTTAGACACCTGTATCTGTATCCACGTTATTACAGGAGCATATCTTGAGATGTTTGAGTTTCAGCTTTTTTGCCTTGACTGGGTTTGTTATTAACAGCACCAATTAGGCGTCATTCCTTCTTCAACACACATTCTGGGGAAGTAGTATTTACAGCTATGTTTATATTGTCTCTAAGCTGATGTGGCACTTTCTGATTGGCTGTATAACAATCAGTCACAGAGTATTACATCGACATAGTTATTCTACTGTACTGTCATAAACTGTTTCGTGCTTGAGGTAACTGGCATGATTTGTGCTGATTTGTATGTAGTTTCGTTATTCATTTCGAAAACTGTGTGCATTTTGGCCTTCAAAATTTGTAAAAAAATATATATATTTGCAATGTTAACTGTATTATATCTGTTTTTTTATGTTTCTAAAAAGTCGGATAGTTTAATATGTGACTGAGTGACCATAATACACTGCAGAGTTCTGTCAACAAATAAGCTCTAAAAATCTCTGCTTTCATTTGTTATAGTTTGCTAAAAAGAAAACATTAATAAAAAGTTAGCTTTTTTATATAAAAAATTTAGAGAAAATATATAATAACATAACTGTACTTTTGTTCACTACATAGCCAAGCGCAGGAAAATATATATATATATATTGAAGCTCACTGTCCAAATAAAAATAGCTTTCGAATGTTTTGTCAATTAACGAACTGAGAGAATTGTGACAACAAAACCTGGTCTCTAATAGCACCAAAAATTTTATTTTGTGACGTAAAGAATCGAGTCATTGTTACTTAATGTAGACTTTAACTGGGAATCACTGACTGGCATATACCTGAAAATGAACTTAAAATGTTTAATAAATTAACAAACAACGACTTATAAGCATAAAGATATTTAAAGTAGAAAGCATGCTTTATGTTTCGACAATACTTTGGTCTTTCAGCTAAGATAACACGAAGTGCCTTCTAGCATAAGTAACATGAAACGGTTCCAGGTAAGAAGACAGCATAACGTGCTTTCCTATACAAGTAACTTCAAACGGTTTCAGGTAAGAAGACAGCATAACGTGCTTTCCTATACAAGTAACTTCAAACGGTTCCAGGTAAGAAGACAGCATAACGTGCTTTCCTATACAAGTAACTTCAAACGGTTTCAGGTAAGAAGACAGCATAACGTGCTTTCCTATACAAGTAACTTCAAACGGTTTCAGGTAAGAAGAGAGTATAATGTGCTTTCCTACACAAGTAACTTCAAACGGTT